GGTTAAGAGAGCTAGGTTTCGTTAGCTTATTGTAGCAATCCTTGATTGATCGACTAGGAGGGCTCGTTCCTAGCTTGTTGAACCTGACTCGTGGTATATAAACATACCCTTCATACTAGAGTTTTGTTCATTGATTCTTAGCACGAGACTATGGGGAGCAATCCCCGGGTGAGGTCCTCTCATATAGAATTCCCCTCAATTTTCTTTACTTGCTTGTTTTCATTTGTAGTTTTCTTAGTTTTAAACCCAAAAATGTTTGCTAGATAACAACCTAATTAGCGATTAAAGTAGGGGTACATGGACCGGCCCGGGTTTGATAATTAAAACATTTGCCCTATACTGCACCCGACTAGAGTTTACGCTTGAGCTTTAGTCGGGATTAATTTGCGATGTATCGGTGGTCAGTCAAGTTTTTGGCGTCGTTGCCGGGGAACCTCATGGTCCGTTATTTTGAAAAAGTCGCTTACTGTTACTCTAGCGTTTTCTATCTTGTCTTTTTGTTTTTGTCTTGTGTTTCGTTTGTGTGTTGTTTTCCACTCTTCATTTTGAAGGGTGGTTTGTATGTGTTTGATTTTGCATTTTAGTGTTTTGTATTTGTTGGTATTGGATCATGGGTCCTTATGATTTCACCAAAGTGTGGGGGTATCCACCACCACCCGAAAGTGGTTACCCCGGAGCTTCATGGGACGATCAAAATGGGGGGACTCAAGGATCTGAATTCTAATACCAACCCCCCCCCCCTTCCAAGAAGAGCAACCATGCCCATGGGGATACCAAGATGTTTCCCCATATCAAGAAGGTTCCCCTCCACAACTTGAGGTGAAATCCAAGTTGGAGTTGGCCATGGAGGCTTTTATGGGATAAACCTCAAGACCATGTGCCACTCCACAACCAGAGCCAAATAGAAAATTAGAGCTCGTAGTGCAGCGATTTACCCGGGGCACAAATGAAGGGTGCTCTAGCATGGACCTCCCAATTGCCGCTCCTTTCGACTCAACCTTTCTTCGGGAATCGGAAGAGCTCCTTCGACACACGGAGAGGCTAGGAGGGCTTGTTGAGCAAGCATATGCACAACTTGCTCACAATCGCCTCCTACCATTTGAAGGAAGAGGCGAAGTCGGAGAGGCGAGCAATGAGAATTTTGGAAGAGCGAGCTCCGACATGGATTTCCAACCCCTCCCTCCTCCCGGTTTCACACTAGAAGAGAAGGTGGCACAAGCTTGTGTACGCCATTGCCTCTCGCAATCGGAAGAAGAAGTGGAGGTTAGAGGGGAGGTCAATGAAGACTATGTGGAACGAGAAGTACTCATCCTGGAAAGCTCTTGGGGTTAGGATGATGATAGACCATTTATTGCACATGTTTTTACCTCCATTCTTGAGCCGTTTGAGAGTCGATTCTCGTGTTTTAGCCGATTTCACGCTAGGTTGTGTGTTTATGTCATATTTCAGGACTTGGCGTTGACGTGAAGGCGAGGAAACGAGTTTCGGGTTAAAAGGAGGACGTTGGAGTAGAAGGGTTCTGGAAGAGAAAAATACCCAACCATGAGTGAAAATACCCGGCCGGGTAAAATGCAATGGGAGGCCGTCGAAAACTGTTTTCGGATGCCAAGAAGCAGGAGGGGTCCCGACGTGAGAGCAAAAATACCTGATCGGGTATTCTGGACCACGATTGGGTATTAACCCCTTTGGTGTTGCGCTGCATTTCAAAATTCCCGGCTGGACACTGGAAATACCCAACCGGGGATCGCGAACATCTGGTTCTTAAGGAAAAGAAGGCCAACTTTTGAAGGGTTCTGAGCATGGTCCATGAAACCGTACCGGAGACCGTACCGGAAAAGTCAGTTGTAGGGTATTTTATGGTAAAACCGTGGTTTTATCGTAGTTCAACCGTTGTATCGTTAAATACCGCCTGCCGGTTTAGCCTCCGATACTGGTATTTTGTGGTTGAACCGCCGGTACGGTACGGTTTCATGGACCATGGTTCCGAGTTTTAGAGAGACAAAGTTGACACCTAGAGACAGAGTGACGAACCTGATTCTCCAAGTTCCCTAGATCAATCTTCATCACCATTGGAGCCCAGCTTGAGCTTGGAGAAGTGCTGATTGATTGCCAGAAGCAGAATCCCATCATTCACAGTATGGTTTCCGCATCTGAGCTAGATTTCCCTTCTCTCTCTATGGAGTAAGTTTCTCATTCACCTGGGTATGAATAACCCTAGATTTGTATGTTAGGTCTGATTGTATGAACCCAAGTACAATTTCAGTTATATGATTATATTCAATTGAGGTTTGATTTCTTGAATGGCATGAATCCTGATCAAATTCCTCTTATTTATGCTTTGACCTAGAAAGAGAATATTTTCCTAGGTTGATAGAGCACCCTTTATTGAAGGTAGGTGAATTGAGGACTTTAGTCGAGTAGTCAATTCACTAGTCTGTACCGGATTTACTTCGGTAGAGGAGGTTTGGTTCGTTAGGGCCTCAATCTGTTTACTCCGGAGGAGGTTAGTCTCCCGCTGGGGAATAAGATTGAGAGGGTCTAGAGACCTTTAGTCGAGACTGCAGACTGTTTAAGAACCTCCCATAGTATAACTATCATTGAACTTGAACTTGGTAAATTACAACCTAGCTTAACTGCAGTCTAGGGGGAACCATATCTGGATGACCTCTCTCAACTTGAACACAACTTTCACTGCTTTGCTTGCTAGTTTAACTAAACCTTCACTACACTTGAACCGCTATATAACAAGACTTTCACGGATTAGTCATCATACCTAGGACTCGGGTTGACAATTAGAACTGAACCCGCTATACGACGCATTAGTAGGTGGTTACACTTGGCCACTTTCTAGTGCGACGATAGAGGCGTGTCAGATGATCAAGAGTGTCTCATTAGCGACTCTCATCACTTTCCCCTTTTCGAGACCAACTTTGAAGACTCATGAGGGAAGAGGAGCAAAAGAATGCATGACATCTTGCCCTCCAAACCATGCTTGAAGACATGAATGGGAAGGTGCGAGAAGAGCGGAGGAATAAATAAGGAAGTTTGTGGAAGAGGAATTTAAACTTGAAGAAAGGGAAGATCTTGATTGTTCCCAAGGGGATGAACAAAGTGAAGAAGAAGGAAGGGAGGTTGAAGAAGAAGTAGAAGGATCAAGTGAGGTCAGAGATGAGGGCGAGGTCGTTGTGGATGAAGCATCCACAAGTTACAAGAGCTACCAAAGTTTTCCACCCGACCTCGATGAACTTTTGGAGAACGATCCATTTGCGGCTCTTTGCCAAGCCAAGGCCTAACCATTGACGATCCCTCTTGGTGGAGGCGATGGAAGTCAATCTGATGGACCCAGTTTTTAACCAATAAAATTTTATAAATATTAAACACCTCTCCTTTTATTAATACACTCGATAATTTTTTGAGTATTACGGTGCCTAAAACACCCGAAAATTTATACTGTACCGTTGTATAAATCGGAATCTTTCCTTAACCATTAATTTTATCCTCTTTATTTTCTTACATTTCCTAAGCCTTTTGTCTCTTTCCTACTTCCATTTTCCCATGTGAGATGGCAGAAGCCTCTCTTCACTTCACTTCCCTTCCTTTCCCTTCCTTTCTATTCTTTTTACTCCCACATGCATGGACGACCCGCCCTTCCCATTCACTAATTTTCTTACACTTTCATACACATTCCTACATTTTCATACACTTTCCTACACTTTCTTTCACTTTCATTCACTTTCTCCTTCATTCCTCCTCTTTCTTTCATTTTCTTACATATTCATTTACTTACGTACATATTCATGCATATACATAAATGTTTCTCGTTTACATTACCCATACTCCTTTATCTTCCCTTATATACTTACACTTTCTCATACTTTCGCATACACACTTGGATATTCTCATATACCATGATTATTGAGAAATGTTGGTGTATGACGGAGAATGTTAAGGTATAACGGAGAATATTGACGAGTATTGGGGAATAACGGAGAATGTTGGTGAATGTTAGCGTAAGTTGAGGAATTTAACTACGACTTTTCCCTATAAATAGGGAGCACCCCTCCCCCATTCTACATAATAACGTAAGTCACACACACAGACAACATAAGTCGCTTACGACTACTTCACACAACACAACTCACACACAATACACTCTCTCTACTTTCTCTCTCTATAAATGTTTTCTCTCTCCTCCCGATCTCCCAAAACGTGTTAAATCCCTAAACACTCAACACACCCTCAATTTGGCGGACTAAGCCATGGAATCGTGGATAATCTCCACCAGGAGGCATTAAATAGTCCACGACGCTCAATTACGACCGTGGGACCGAACCAGGTCTAACGTTATTGTATTTATTTTATTCCATTCAGGTTACTAATTTGAGCATCGGAGGAGGTTCCAACCAGGACTCCCCCAGTGGAACTTTTTTTCCAGGTATTCGCACGGAGCTGGAGGTGGTAAAGACTTTGGGAAATCAGCGCTCTCCGGACCTTAAACATATTGAAGCAGGGTGCTCTGAGCTTGGCATGAACAATTGGCGCCCACCGTGGGGCCCATTGAGAAGAATGTTTCCAAATTTTTAACAAACCACCGCCAAGAAGGAATTCTCACCCCTACTCCGGGACAATTACGTGAGATGCAGGCTGAGATTGAGCGACTCAGAACTCAACTCAGAGCTTGAGAGGCCTCCCATATTAATGCTCTTGGTTCCTCCAGAGTACCGACACCAAAAGACTAGGAGAGAGTTGTTGACCATGGCTCGATCAATGAACCACCAAATGTGACATCAGCACCCGTTGGATTAACCGCCCCGAGTCTCTCAGCGAATCTACTCGAAACATCCCAAGGACATAAAGTTGTCTCTTCAATCGGAGTACGAGGACATCTATCCAGAATCGTTCAGGATGAGCCCTACCCACCAAATCTCCATTTACCAAGCTTGCCAGAGTATTATGGCACCACAGATCCAGAAGACCACCTTTGCTCTTTTCAAATCCTAATGCCATTAATTGGAGCATCTGATGCAACAATGTGCAAAATCTTCCAAGAAACACTCCGTGGAGATGCCCGACGATGGTACTCAAAGTTACAAGATGGTATTATCTCCAGCTTTTTCGAATTTGCCACTCTCTTCAGATGCAAATTCTGTGCACAGAAAAAACAGCCTATCAACATCCATCAACTCCTCAACATCAGGCAGCGTGATGATGAGACACTCAAGGCATACTATACTCGACATAGTAATATCGCCATTGGACTTACATCCATCTCCACCGAGATTGCCACCAATGCCCTGATGTGAGGGACTAGCAACATTGATCTATATGCTTCTCTTGCAAAACGGGCTCCCCACTGCACTATGGAACTTCAAGAGCGAGTTTCAAAATATATTGATCTAAAAGAGGCACTTCAGGAGGTTAGCCGGGCAGGATCCAAAAGAAAACCAGAGACTTCATCCCAGGATTCTTGCCGACAACGTCAACCTCCTGCACCCGAGGTCCGAAACTCTTCCCAAAATTCCAGAAGGGATGTCACCCAGTTAAAACAAAGCTATACTCCTCTCAATCGCTCTAGACAAGCCATTCTTCAGGTCATTCGAGAGAATAAAATTCCCATTACTCAACCTCCTTCGGTTATGAGGGTTTCAGGAAAAGGCCAACAACTCTACTGCGAATTCCACCGCTGTACAAGACATGATACAGAAAGCTGTTACACCCTCAAGCACTCTATTGAAGGACTTATCCAACAAGGCTATCTTCGAGACTTTGTAAAGAATGTCCGTCCCCCTATTATCCCTTCTCCTCCAATAATAGAGAAAGGAAAAGCATCACAGGGAAGTGGATCGGTGTTGGGAAATGTCCCTGTCATTCATGGCGGGGTCAGATTATCTGAGCAATTTGGTTCTCGACCAACCAGTGCCCCAAGGTTGGTCGGTTCTACTTTTATTCCACAAATTCCCATCTCCTTCGACGATAGGGATCTTGAAGTTATCGAGTACCCTCATGATGATGTCTTAGTCATCAAGGCAGTAATTGCAAACTATTTCGTTCAACGAGTCCTCATCGACGGAGGTAGCACTGCAGTTTTTTTATTCTACCCAGCTTTTAAGTCCCTAGGTCTTCAACTAAGCAAATTTCACCCTCCTAGCATTTATCTCGTGGGCTTCTCTGGAAATCAAGTCCCAATTCTATGCATTCTCTCACTCCAGGTCCGTGTTGGCAGTGGCCAACTAACTGTAGAGACAACAATCAATTTCCATGTTGTTGAGTGCCCTCCTGCATACAACTGCATTCTCGGACGCCCTTTTCTCCATCAAGTTCAGGGTATACCCTCAACTCTGCACTTAAAATTGAAGTTCCCAACTATTGATGGAGTGGGGTGTGTAAAGGGAGATAAAGCTCTTACACGTCAATGTTGTGAGTTCTCCCTGAAAGATGGATTTGTGGCCAAAATGGAAGCCAGAGACGAGGTCGCTCAACTGGTTCCCGTCGACACTAATGAAGAACATGCATTAGAATAAGGGAGAACTATTCGTGTATCCACGGCATGGCCTAAATATTATCTCCCACAAATTCTCAGTTTGATGATCGAGTACAAAGAGTCCTTTGCTCAAGGAACTGAGGATATGCCTGGTCTCGATTGAAAAGTTGTCGAGCATACACTAGGGATTATCCCAGGTAGAAATCCTATCCAACAAAAAAGAAAAAACTTCGCATGGGAATGTCGCCAGGCCATAGCAGAGGAAGTAATCAAGCTAGGGCAAGCCGGCTTCATTAGCGAGGTTCTCTACCCAACATGGTTGGCTAATGTGGTCATGGTTAAAAATGACAACGACCAATGGAGAATGTTTGTTGACTTCACCGATCTCAAAAAGGCTTGCCCAAAGGACCCGTATCCCCTGCCCAAGATTGATCTGCTTATCGATGCGACCGCCGGTCATCGCCATCTCTCTTTTCTTGATATGTTCTCAGGGTACCACCAGATCCCACTAAAAAAGGCAACCAAAAATATACTGCCTTCTTGACTCCGGTAGGAAATTATTGCTACAAGGTGATGCCGTTCAGCCTTAAAAACGTCGGAGCTACCTATCAACGTATGGTGGATCGAGTCTTTGCCCGACAACTAGGTCGAAATGTTGAATCCTATGTGGATGACATCCTAATCAAAAGTGCAGAGACACATGCACATTTAGAAGATCTACACGAGACTTTTGATACGATTATACAACTTGCGCCTTAATCCAAAGAAATGCGTCTTCGGGGCCACCACTAGGATTCATGGTGACAAGACGTGGAATCGAGGTTAACCCTACACAAATTGAAGCCATTCTCCAGATGAAATCACCTACAAATCATAAGGAAGTACAGGTTCTAACAGGAAGGATTGCGGCACTCAACCGATTCATTTCACGAGCTGGGGATCGCTGTGCTCCTTTTTTCAACACCCTAAAAGGAGCTGGAAAAACCTTCTAGTGGACTCCTAAATGTGAGAAATCTTTCACAAAACTTAAGGAATACTTTGTGAATCCCCCAATACTCTCATCTTCTGTCTACAATGAGACATTGTACCTGTACTTTGCTGTCTCCTCCAAGGTTGTGAGTGTTGTACTCGTTTGCCAAGATATAGACAATACAGAGCATCCTATTTACTACACTTGTAAGACCCTGTTAGATGCTGAAACAAGATACTCTCCCGTGGAGAAAGCCTCCCTAGCTATGGTGGTTTCCACTCGAAAGTTGCATCTCTACTTCCAAAGCCACCCCATTTGTATACTCTCTCAACTGCCTTTACGTCGTCTACTTCAGCGCATGGATGTTGCTGGTAGAATGGTGAACTAGGACATCGAGCAAAGTGAATACGATCTCACTTTCCTCCCTCGCACCGCCATAAACTCCAAGGTTTTAGCTGACTTTTTTTTTTGCAGAAGGTGTTCGAGCATGTCTCCCACGAGAAATAGAGACTTGGAGATTGTACGTTGATGGTGCATCTAGTAAAACTGGATCAGGAACATGAGTTTTGTTCATCATTCCTCTCGGAGTCACTCATGAATTGGCAATTGGCTTTGCCAGCACCATGACGAACAATGCCACCGAGTATGAAGCCCTCCTAGCGGGACTAACTATGGCTCAAGAGTTGGGCATTCAACGAATTAGTGTCCACTCCGACTCTGCCCTAGTTGTCAATCAAGTGCAGGGGGCATACGAGTTACGAGAGCCCGCGCTCGTACCATACACCAATACCTCTCGTATGGCACTCTCTGAGTTTCCTCAAGCAGAGATAGTCCACATATCTCGTGAGGATAATCTTCATGCATACGCATTATCAAAACTTGCAACATCACAAGACTTCCTCAGCGAGAGGCATGTGATCGTTGAAAGGCGTCCAACAATGTTATGCGCCCAAATTACCTCATTTCCAGCACAATCCGATTGGTGAACACCCCTCATCGAGTATCTAAAACATGGGCTCCTGCCCACTGACTAGAAGGAAGCCATCCACCTTAAGGAAGCCATCCTGATCGAGGGAGATTTATACAAGAAAGGTTTCACTGGACCCTATCTACGGTGCCTTAGCATTGGCGAAGCGCACTTTTTCGTACAGGAGGTGAATGAAGGGTCATGTGGGATGCACGCAGGTCCTCGTAGCTTGAAGAAAACTCTTCTACGGCACTGATGCCGTGCTACCAATTGAAATGGAGCTCTCCTCTTACAGAATCCAAGCATTCCACCCCGATGAAAATCAAATCGAGCTCACTCATGATCTACATCTCATCGAGGAGCGTCGAGAGGAAGCACTTTTGCGACTCGCCGCTTCCAAAGAGAGGATTGTGCGTTACTACAACGCCAAGGTGAGAAATCGACCCGTCCGGGAAGGAAAATGGGTCCTGAAGATAAACTTCAAACACATTCCAAGTCATGGTAAGTTTACCTCCCCCACCCCCCAGTGGGAGGGTCCTTACAAAGTGCGTAAAGTGGTGGGACCAAATACTGTAAAACTGTCACTCCCTGATGGTCAAGATATGTCAAGGACTTGGAACACAATGCATCTAAGGAGATACTTTACTCCATAAATATGGTACACCCTCGCTATCTTTAAACACCCCAGTGGATTTGTTCCCTAAATAAATACCATGGTAGGGTGAAAGATAGCTAGCAATAAAAGCAGCATGTTTATTATGGTTATTAAAAAGTTTGGAAACCCATTGTACAATACCTACTACATATGTTTATAAGCTAAACTATTCACATGACCGAGTATCTTACAGGGTATTTTACAATGTTATTTCAAGTTGGAATTTCATAAGCTTTAGTTCTCAAATAACTCTGGGCCGAGTAACTCGGTTGCAGCCAACAAATTGCCATAGTGATATTAAAATCTGAATGTACTGGAGTGCCAAACATTGGAGGTGCTTCGGAAACCACATCTAAAAGTGGCGAGACGCGATGGAATTCAATCTCCACATTCGAAATTTGGCTTGCTGCCTCCCCGAACTTAGGAGCACCAACGCATTCCTCCACGACATTCATAATCTGGGATGTCACCTCCTCAAGTTCCGAAGTAGTTGCACATTCCTCCACCACTTGAAGAAGGCGAATGTCATCAAGATCTCTTGCAGGATACATACAATAAATCTCCTTCCTAGCCAAACGATGGACATTATCCATTACTCCCAAAACCGCCATCTGTAGCTGATGACGCAGAGTATTATTCTCTGGTCGGAGGGTGGTGTTTTCCGAGTGCAAACCAGTATTCTCCGACCGTAAAGTCTCCTGGTTAGCCTCTCCTCACGCATACTGGCATAAATTTGCTGCACTTTTTCACGAAGTCCAGCCTCAGCTGCTTCTGAGGTACACAACTCTTGTGTGGCTTCCTCAACATGTTGTTGAGCCTCCACCATTTTTGCATTCCATTCACAGGACTTGGAAGAAAATTGCTCCTCTCTTATCTTCATATGAATCTTCATTTCCTCCAAAGAATGAGTTGCCTGCTCTCGGGCTTTAGTTACCCAAAGCTTTGTCGTGGTTAGACGACCCTCCATGGTAACAACATACCTTGCCAACTATTAAAAAAAGGAGCAATGTCAATATATCATATATGAATTAAAGACCCAGGAAGAAAGGAAGAATGTAAAAACACCTCTGAAATGGACGAAGCAAAAGTTGATCATGTAGCTACATCATCTAAAGCAGGGAAGTGTTTCCTCGCCTCACAAAGGGTGTCATAAGTTATGATACCACCATCCAAGATTCCATCTTTATTGACTCTTGAAGACTCCCCCCTCTCCTTCAAGGTTCCTTATCGCACACTGGGCTTTTTCCTTTTCTAGCTCTCCCCTCAAAACGACACTTTCGGACAGGTGAATCCCCTTATTCTGCACTGAAGAACGATTTCTCTTCTGCTGATCACGACGAACTCCCAATCATCCATAAAGGGAATTATCTGGTATCCCACAAATTGACATCCCAACGTATGAGCGAGGCACTGCTGGCACCTCCCTATTCTTCATACAAACCTTAAACTGGGAATAGTCTGCAGGAGGACTACAATTAGAAAATCCAGTAAGAGAGAGAGAGAGAGAGAGAGAGAGAGAGAGAGAGAGAGAGAGGGAAGCATTATAAAAGAGACATACATTTACCATAGACAGAAAGAAACAAGCATGCTCAAACCCCAGGACTGCTTATACTAATGGGTTTCTCACGAAGGAGTCGGTTACGTTGTACGACAATCTTTCCCTCCATCACAAGATCCTAAAACCCTCCTGTAACACCTTCATTCCACTCAGCCGGAACTAGGTTACCTCCTAAGGTAAACTCACCAGGCGGGGCAAGAAAATAAAAGAATTTTGTCTCCCATGATCCTTTCAAGTGGCTAAGCGAAGTGGAGAGATTATTGGCTGACTTACGCTTGTGCAATTCCTAACCAACTCGGTTATGATGGAAGAAAAATCAGTGTAAAACAACTCCGAGGATGGAGGAACCCCAGCTCGACGGCATGACAGGGTAAAGCAAGCGATGAAAGTCCAAAAACAAGGACTAACTAAGTCAATAGAAAGCTTACTACGTCTCATTATCGCACACAATCAAGGAGGCAACGGTAGTCGAAACCCATATTCCAAAGAAGAGAGGAAAAGTGATTGCCATGATGATGGGTGACTTGCAGCTGAAACAAATCTATTGGGCAGGGCATACCTCCAGTGATGACGCATACCATACGACACCAGCAACTCCCGTTGCCACCTTTCGCTTTGCGTAAAACCACGCCCAGGCCTCCCGCTAGGTACTCTGGAGGCACTCGACCCAAATGGTACATCGCCTCCCAAGGGAAAATATTAAAATCCAGGGTATTATATGCTTTATTTTGGAACCCACCGGCATCGGAACCACTTGCCCGCACAACGGTGGAGGGAGGCGGTATCAAAGCAGAATGATGATTATTGCGGGATGAGGAAGGTAAACTCGACATTTTACAAAAAGGTAAAATAAAAATTTACTTTATGTAAATGAGAATGGTAGAGTAAAGGTTTACTGTGGGTAGACTTTGTATTGCCAAAGGGAAGTTGTAGAGAAGAAGTAAGGAGCAGGAAATTGTGAAGTGGGAATGAACTATGTTCCCCTCCGCTTCAGTATTTATAGGCATGACACTTGAGACGGGGTCTAACACCGACTTACCGTCAGAAAATGTCCAAATGAACTCCGAATTTTTCTATCGATAAGGGGGAATTGATGGACCCAGTTTTAACAAATAAAATTTTATAAATATTAAACACCTCTCCTTTTGTTAATACATACGATAAATTTTTAAGTATTACGATGCCTAAAACACCCGAAAATTTATATTGTACCGTTGTATAAATCGGCATCTTTCCTAAACCATTAATTTTGTCCTCTTTCTTTTCTTACATTTCCTAAGCCTATTGTCTCTTTCCCTACTTCCCTTTTCCCATGTGAGATGGCAAAAGCCTCTCTTCACTTTACTTCCCTTCCTTTCCATTTCTTTCTACTTTTCTTTTCTTTTTACTCCCACATGCATGCATGGACGACCCACCCTTCCCCATTCACTAATTTTCCTATACTTTCATATACATTCCTACATTTTCATACACTTTCCTACACTTTCTTACACTTTCTCCTTCATTCCTCCTCTTTCTTTCATTTTATTACATATTCATTTACGTACGTACATATTCATGCATATACATGCATATACGTAAATGTTTCTCGTTTACATTACCCATACTCCTTTATCCTCCTTTATATACTCACTTTCTCATACTTTCGCATACACACTTGGATATTCTCATATACCATGATTATTGAGATATGTTGGTGTATGACGGAGAATGTTAAGGTATAACGGAGAATATTGACAATTATTGGGGACTAACGGAGAATGTTGGTCAATGTTAACGTAAGTCGAGGAATTTAACTACGACTTTTACCTATAAATAGGGAGAACCCCTTCCCCATTCTACATAACAACGTAAGTCACACACACACAATATAAGTTGCTTACGACTACTTCACACAACACAACTCACACACAATACACTCTATTTTCTCTCTCTAAAAAACGTTTTCTCTCTCCTCCTGGTCTCCCAAAACGTGTGAAATCTCTAAACACTTAACACACCCTCAATTTGGCGGACTAAGCCATGGAATCGTGGATAATCTCCACCGGGCGGCAGTAAATAGCTGACGACGCTCAATTACGACCGTGGGACCGAACCAGGTCTAACGTTATCGCATTTATTTTATTCCATTCAGGTTACTAATTTGAGCGTCGGAGGAGGTTCCAACTAGGACTCCCCCTGTGGAACTTTTTTCTCAGGTATTCGCACGAAGTTGGAGGTGGTAAAGACTTTGGGAAATAAGCGCTCTCCAGACCTTAAACATATTGAAGCAGGCTGCTCCAAGCTTGGAATCAACACAATCGATGATGGACTACATAGTGTGGGGCGAAGAGAAGGAAGAAGAAAAGAAGAAGAAGTCTCGTGGGTAGAGCCTCAAATCCGATCAAGTTCACGAGCCCTTAATCATGGACTCGTCCAGTGATCGTGACTTGAGATTTCATCTCACCGACGAGAACTTCAACTTCAAGGAGGTTCTTGGACGGACCGAAGCTTGAGGAGCAACCGTCTAGCTTATGACGTAAAAGTAGCGCTTGTTGGGAGGCAACCCAACGTAGGTTTGTGTTTATTTTTATGTTAAGTAATATTATTGTGCAATAACCTTGCCTTGCGCAAGCATGTGTGTGCTTGTCTTTGTCTTGGTCTCCTTAAAGCTCTCTCCTTTTCATCTCCGGTCCAATTTGGTTCGGACTTTCACTTGCCAAGCTATGCAGTAACATTGTTCTACCCCTTACTTTACGCCATTGAGGGTAATGTTGAGCTGAAATGTGTGTGTGGGGGTGGGGGGGGGGGGGGTAGCTTATTATTATACTTATATGTGATTGAATGCTTGGAGCCTTGATGTATGGCCAAATTTGAAAAAATTTTAGGGCTCCAAGCAATGCTTTCATGATCAAAGTGGTCGGTTTGTGGGAGAATCTCGTGTTTATTGCCATTCGCCTTGAATTGTTGCATGTGATCGAGTGTGTCCTATGATGATGACTGAGAGGTGCATTAGGATACTGCAAAGGTCTAGTTCTCATGTGCGCAAAAATGAATGGATGTCTTAACTCGATTACTTGCTTATTACAATTGCCATGCATTGTGTTTTCTGAATTAGAATAGATGGTGGGTCACTACAACAAATTTGGCCTATTATGACAAGGCAATTAGATACCCATTTTGTCATATTAGGTATAATATGACAAAAAGTGTTGTCACAAAGGTTTGTCATTTTATCGCCGTCAGGATAGGTCAAATTTGACAAATATTTAAAACAAAGTTGTCACATTTGCTTTCAGTATAGCTGATGTTCTGGGTAGTCTATTGTGACACTGGGTAGTCTATTGTGACAAACAGAGATGTTATGACGACATATTTTGTCATTAAGGTTTTCATAATCTGGTGATTTGTGGAGAATTATTCGTCATATTACACGATTATATTTTGTCATAACTGTATAT